CACTCCCTTCAGACTGAAGAGACTTAGTTCCTTCAGCCTGTCAGTGTGGGTCACTCCCTTCAGACTGAAGAGACTTAGTTCCTTCAGCCTGTCAGTGTGGGACACTCCCTTCAGACTGAAGAGACTTAGTTCCTTCAGCCTGTCAGTGTGGGACACTCCCTTCAGACTGAAGAGACTCAGTTCCTTCAGCCTGTCAGTGTGGGACACTCCCTTCAGACTGAAGAGACTTAGTTCCTTTGGCCTGTCAGTGTGGGACACTCCCTTCAGACTAAAGAGACTCAGTTCCTCCGGCCTACAGTGTGGGATACTCCCTTCAGATTAAAGAGACTCGGTTCCTCCGGCCTGTCAGTGTGGGACACTTCCTTTAGTCTGAAGAGACTCAGTTCCTCCAGCCTGTCGATGTAGGATATATTCCCTTCAGCCCCAGAATGTATCTGTTTTCTCTTCTCCAGACTGATTGTGGTTATTAAAATCGTACATAATATTCTAGAAGAGGCTTGCATCACACAGTTTTAACGTAACCCCCCAAATCTAAATTCTGAGTTTTTAACTGTGTATGCTAACATTTTTAATGTCACACATGGTGTATAGTTGGACCACTGTGCTGTAGGAGGTGTTATCTTTCTGATGCGATTTTAAATGTGGGTCCCTTTCTATATTTGAAGGACACGAATAATAATATGCATGTAAGGGTTTGTTATTGTTGTTTATTAGTCATTTACATTACAATTTAAATAATTTTTGGAAGTGTCCTGAATTTTACAAGGTACACATCCAAAACAAATAAGGACGAGACGGATTCACTGCCACCACTCTAGAGCCATATTTAAGACACTTCCAGCTAATGGAATATTAATATGGAAGAGCTTGATGTGAGGTGAGCAGTGCTTTGCTGGGTGTCTGTCTAGTTCAACAGTAGTTCAAGTAGGGAGCTGCGTCAGTATGTGTAGGCTGCAAAGGAACAAATAAAGGTTTACTTCATGTTGAAAAGAGAAGAAAAGAAACACAACGTTTTGGCCTTCACAACTGAAGAAGGCTCCACAGCTGAAACGTTGTGTTTCTTTTCTTTTCAGCCTGGAATAAACCTTAACTTGTTCCTAGTTCAGCAGTAGTTGACTAGTTGAGGTTTTGTATTAAAGCTAGAGGTGATGGGCAGCCCTGCCACCTGGTGGACGAATCAGGGAACCAACTCTTTAAAATTCCAGTGGGTTTAAATTATTCTTATTCTTATTCTTATTTTTATTAATCTTATTTAATCAGAGATTAAACAATCTGTTGTTGCTCATCCAAAAGTTTAAACTCATGCTCCATTATCATCATGTCTGTAGACTGTTTAAAGACTCTCAGTCTGATCATCTGTAACCTCACATTGACACTCA